TTCACCAGTTGTCACCAGTCTGAGACAGAGAAGTCACCTTTCCTAGGTGGCTGAAAAGGCTCGTGACTAAGTTGTGACACAGCTGAGCCGTGTGCACGTCACTGAAATGATGACGGCAATCAAGTTAGCTATGGGAAGAACTTTGCTAAGTGCGCAAAGGACTTTCTGCCTGAGTCTGCCTTCTGCATTGTTCTAAAGTCCCCTGCAGCTGCCCATCTTGGGGCAACTTGTAGGGAAGCCACACGGCTTCTTCCACCAGAAGGAAGAGAGCTGTCTGAGGGAAACACGGCCTCTCTTAATCCATCTAGCTTCTTCCCTAGATCCTTTCAGTTTTAAGGCAGGGCATGAACTACCTACCCCAATGTTAACCTCTAAAACATTCTCTGTGTTCACTGAAGACGGACTCACTGTATCCCTGACCTCGACAGCAACCTCCCTAAGTCCTTGAGAACGACTCCTGGTCCCTCTGAAGGCTCATACTCAATGTATGCAAACGTAAGCAAATTCCCCAGTCCTTCTCCTGAGAAGGGTTTCAGATCACACTCTAAATTTTTCTGGGAGATGAGCTCATGTCAGAATTAATTTCCCCTAGCGCCATTATAAGACAGCTCCCATAATTCCCATTTCCTTAGGACAGGATACACTTCGAAAGTATTTTAAATCGCTTCATTTTTTAAATACATTTTTCTTTCCTTTCTTTGCGTGCGTTCCGTGCAGGAAACAGGAGCCCACACGCCCCGGGTACGAGTGTGAAGGACAGAGAACAACTGGGAGTTAGTTATTTTACCACAAGGGTTCAGGGCACTGAACTCAGATCGCTGGGCTTGGTGGCAGATGCCCACCCCCGCTAACCTATCCTCACCGGCCCTCGATAACACACCTTTAAGGCAAATATGTTCACTCAAATTCAAATGCCCAGTAAACTTCCTTAATCTCTTCTGTCTCTACGACGAAATACCCGAGACTGGGTAGTTTGCCAAGAACAGAAGTTTACTGGCTCACTGTTCTAGGCGCCTGGCGAGACTCTTCCTGCAGCGCTGTAACATGGCGGAGGATATTGCACTGCGAGACAGAGCTCTGTGCGCTGCTGGAGGTCTTGTTCACGTCTCCCTCACAGAAATATCAATGCCATGTAGGCCTTGTCCGCTATGACCTCATCTAACCCTGTCTATCTCCCCCAGAGTCCTTGCTCCGCATGCTGTTAACGGACAGGTTTCCAACAGGCAAACTTTAGAAAAACACATTCAAACCACAGGAAAAAAAATCAACACTTAAAGCTTGAGGAAGCTGCTTCAAATCACGTTCCTGCCAGATGGCAGGCTCACACACAAGCAGGATGGCCCTGGAGACACCATTAAGTCCAGGTCTACTCGACAGTTCAACGTCACCTGCACGGTCTTCCACAGAAGTGACCTGAGACTCCACAAGCAGGCCTGACAGCTCCGCACCCCTTTCAGTTCCTCCGCGTTTGTAATCACTTACACCCAAACACGGCTGTACCCAAATGATGACCAGGACTGGTGCCCCGCCAACGCATACTATTTCTTTTATAGAGCCAAAGGTTTATCTCCTTCTGGGCTGTCAACACACCAGCTCTGCCTCTCAAGAGCACGAGATTCCGGCCCGTGCAACTGTAGTCGGTAAGACCCTTCCCGACGTAAGAAGCCGTACTTCAGTGACATGATCCGGTTCTCTAAGGAGATTCAGTTCCGGGGAAACCAGAACCTTCTGTACCCCTACCCACTCTGTTTCCTGGGATGTCCATGGCACCGTCCAGCTACGCCTTCCCTCCACCCCACAGTTCAGGTCAAACACAGGAGGGAATGTCAAGCAGCAGCACCTCTCGGGGACCCAGAGAGGCACCATATGGATTTACCATCTTTTTTTTTTTCTTTTGGCCCAATCAAGCAGCAATGAATGACTCTCGAGAGCTTCACCACATCCTCTATCTTTCCCAGTAAGAGGTGGGTAGTGAACACACCCTTTCTTACCACTTGTTAGGACACTGGCAGCTACTTTGCTGGTGAACATTTTAGATCAAAAAAGCATGCTTAGTGGATGTTGCATGAAGAACAACAGATCCGAACAAACACTCCACAAAGACTCAGCTACAAATGCATCAAGAGCCTCAACGTGAGGTCATACACACTGAATCCGGTAGAGGACCAAGCGGGGACAGCTTTGGACTCACTGGCACATTAAAAAAAAAAGAAAAAACTTCCTGAAATGACACCCATAGCACAGGCATGAAGAACAACAATTAATAAGTGGGACCTCACGAAACTGAAAAGCTGTCTGGCAAAGGACACCACCATTCGAACAAAGCGACAGCCTACAGAGTGGGAGAAGATCTTCACCAATGATATACTGGTGACACAAATTTTACATCTGCAAGAGGGTTAGTATCTACACTATATAAAGAACTAAAAAAATTAAACATCAAGAAACCACATAACTCATAGGAATCCCCAAATACCAAAGGCTATTATTACCAACACCATCGGTTACTTCCCACAACTTGACAACGAGTCCCCAGTGCTGAAGATAACATTCATACATCTCACCGAACATGGAGAGGTGAAGCTGGTGCCCAACTAGAGGCATCAATCCTACTGATGATTGTTCACGGTACTAGAAGGTACTCCGAATGCTACTGAGGAAGAAAGGTAACCATCAACCCGGCTACGGGTCTTAACACAGAACTGCATACTGGTGAAACGTTACAGGGGTAACCGACCGCTTCCAACTTGGGTTTAAGGCCCATTCTATGAGATGAAACCCATGCCTGACACTGCCAAAGCGGCTCAGACCTGAGACCGGAGAGGTCTTGTGGAAAACTGAAGACTATTAATCCGTTAAAGGGACTGATAATGAAAAACCGCTGTACCAACAGATTGGTGTCTTGCTGAGCTGTCATCAGAGCTGACGGGAACCAATACTGAGGCCTGCAATTGGACAATGTGCAGGAGCACTGGATCCCAGACGGGAAGTCACCTCCGCGGAGCTCAGGAGAGGAGGTGAGAAATTCTGAGAGCACCAGGGGAGATGAGTGACTCCAACAGAACAGTGACTTCCAGACACACACGGCAGAAGGGATGCACATACGAACTCACAGAGGCTGTGGTAGCAGGGGCGGGCTCAGGCTCAACGCGGTGCCAGCACTGAGAAGGGGGAGCAGATACAGGGCCCACCCTTAGTCAGACAGTTATCTGCACCTGATACTTGCTGCCAAAGGAAAAAGATCAGTTTTCTCCAATGGAGTATCACTGGGTATAGAAAAAGACAATTCAGGGTAGGCCTCATGCCCAGAAAGAGCTGGTCAACAAAAAACAAATTCAATGGTGTTTTTGTTTTGTTTTGTTTTTTTTGGTTTTGTTTTTTGTTGTTTTGTAGTCTTTCTGTCTGCTTTGTTTGAGCTGGGCTTTTCTTTTTTTGAGTTTTCATTTTTATTTTTGTGGGTTTTCGTATTTTGTTTTGTATGTGCATGTGTGTGAGAGACAGAGAGACAGAGAGACAGAGAGACAGAGAGAGAGAGAGAGAGAGAGAGAGAGAGAGAGAGAGAGAGAGAGAGAGAGAGAGCGCATGAAATTAGGTAGGTAAGGAGGTGGATCTGAAAGGAACCGATGGAAGGGAAAACCTGATCGAAATAAAATATGATTGTGAGAATTTTTTCAATGATAAGGTTTAAAAAATGTATGCTTGTAAATCTTTCCAATTTATAATGTCATAAATGGAAGGTCAACATTGAAATGTCACTCAACATGATCACAGTGATACTTAATGTAACAATAGATTATCAAGTTAACTATCACATAAGGATCCTATACTCAAAAATCACAGGGATTATCTCTAAAGAACCCAAGTCATTGGGTATAAATTTAATGGGCAGAATGATACACGTTATCTGTCATCCCCAAGGCATTATGTCCAAACATGACATTTTATCCATGTATCATCTTCCCTAGAAAATAGCAATGACCAGGGGATGATAAAGCAACCCATTCATCCCATTATATAAATGCAATTAGAGCTATGGACGCTTCTCTTTGCACAGCAAATTTTCTCATAAAGTAGATCCTCACAGGAAAAATGTAGTTAAAAGAGCTAGTGGGACATGCCTAAGCTAAGGCTGATCATTCATAATTAATAATAAGTCTCTGTGTCTTTATTTGGGAGCTGGTTGGCGGCCCAAAGAAAATTCCAACTCCACTATCACACAAAATATAACTAGAATGACAAATAGGTTCTAAGAAAGGGATGGGAGCTGGAGAGATGGCTCAGTGGCTAACAGATCTTCCAGAGGCTCTGAGTTAGTTTCCAGCACTCATTCCTACAGCCCGTAAGTGCTCACAAACCCCAGTTCCACGGATTCTGATGACACCCTCTTCTGGTCTCTTCAGGTACTGCACTCATGTCCATATACTATCACATAGATAAACACATGTATATATGACTTTAAAAATAAAAGTATTTTTAAAGAGAATGGGGCGGATGAATGCAGAATGGGAGGACACACGGACACAACAAGGAGAAGTATAATATTTTACATGGAGACTCAGAGTCTACTACGTGTAATTTTTGTCTTCTTTTTTTTTTAAATCATTACTCAGAAAGGAAAGGACGTGATCATCTTGAGCTTTTAAGTTATCCAATTATTACTACGTATAGAATTTTACACAGGGTGTCCGGGCCATACATTATGCCAATAGAAAAGGTAAAATTGAAGTATCGCTCACAACCTGAGCATTAAAGCAAAGAGCCTTTTTAAGCCTTCAACGCCTTTGTCTCTGACATGGAAAATGCTAAGAGAGTCCATCTGCATTTGTTTTTATATATATTGTCACCATTTTGTGACACTGAGAACTTGTAGTAATCTAATCTCCCGTTAGAGAGGTAACCAACTGTGCTTTGAGTGAGGATGACTTGAGTTTCCCCGAATCCCGGGAAAGTCAGCTTGCACATTCCGCGGGCCCGCTCCCCGCTTTCAAGCACACACTTACGTCCACATCGCAGCCGTAGTCCGATCCATCCAGAAGCGTCACTTTGCACTGCATGCTTTTGGGTCTTTTCACGATCTTCAGTGGGGACCGTGAGAGTTTGCTGCTGGACGATTTCTGAGAGAGCTTATCGTCTTCAAGCTGCTGATACTCAAGTTGTTTCGCAGCCGCGATGGCGAAGTCCCGGTCCTTGTCGCTGACCTGTGAACAGCAACAATGAGCGCCTTTCATATCGGACAGGATATTGAGTTGCTCAGACACTGCACAGCTCCAGAGAGACAGACCGCGGTACCGTTTCCTAGAGGATGTGAGCCGTCTCGACTGCCATGCGAGGAGCAGACACACCGATTTGAAGATCCCTGAAGCCTGGTTACACCTAAATAACCCCATCACTCTTAAATGTACCACGAGGGGCTTTTCTCGGCTGACCCAGGACTTCATAGAGAAGAAAATTAGCCAATTCCATTAAGATCTCACGAGGCAAATAAGGAAAAGCCATTCCTGACTTCTCAGAGGCGTTGGAGAGCGGAGGTCTATAAACCACCACGGTTTTCATGGTTCACTAGATAACTTCTGCACTCCCTGACCCGTTAGACCCATACGTACACTTGCAAGATTCAAATGTTAAGGCTTAGAGAGCTGGGAGTGTTAATCTCGACGGTAACTTTACAAGAGGGAAGACACTTGATTCTGCTCTGCGTCAGTGCACGGAAGTCAGCAGAGCTGAAGTTCATCATAGTGTAATCCCCCCGGGGTCTGCTCCCTTCCTGGTAACGAGCTGGCGTGAGGACGCGTCAAATGTGCGTGAAGCTTTCATCTGCCTGATCTCTACAGTCTGTCTGTTCTGGGCCAGTCTCACAACTGCAGAGAAACCTCCTACGGAACATGAGACCCTCCCCTCACCCAGTCAGCCACCACCCCCCCCTGGCATCCCTGAACACCAGATGTTTCTCACCCACCCCTCTTCTTTTTATCTGCTCACCGAGATGGGTGGCGTGCTGTCGTGATGCGTGGCTGGACGGCACCCATGGCAACACCAGCAGTGCACAGAAAAAGAAAGACACCAATGCTCAGGGCTGACCCTTGAAATTCACACAGGATTTCTCACACAGAGGGACCACCAGCCGGGTGCTAAAAGGGCTTGGGATCTAGAGCAAAGCCGGCATTGGTGGTTTGTCATTTCAACTTTCACTAGTTCCTACCACTTTTTATTTTTAGAAGCAGAGTCATTTTTAGTGTACCTGTTTTAAGGCCTTTGATGCAGGTTTCTGCTTCCCCTGCATTTTCCTACCTTGGTGTTCATATATAAGATTGAGAATGTAGTCCCTTCTCCCACCAAAAGTATCCATGAATTGTAAGCAGTTCTTCGCAATGTGTATATATATCCAAACAAACCCAAAACCTAAAGTAGTGAATGGCTGTACTTCAACGTATGCATTCTAAATACTGATTCAGGAGGAATCCAAGTTGGTGGCTTAGGTTAAAATAACTAAGTTAAAAAATGATGGAATGGCCAACTTGAAAAGCCTAGGGAATTGAAAAAGTAAACTTCAGCAAGTTAATAAACTTGGTCCTACTATTTTGACTGTATTAAAACATCAAAATGGTCAATGCAAGAAATCTATGTCACTAATCTGGCCTTGACATAGTTTAGGGAGAAGTAAAATAATCCTGGAATTATGACCCACAATACATCTTATTAGATACTTTATAATTTGTATGACTCCAACATATTTAAACTGTTGTCTCATTACTAGAAAACTCAACTGAAGCTACTTTTAAATTTTGCTGTGAATCACCGTTTTCTATATACTACTCGAGATGAGACTGTTTGCCCGCCACTAAAAGTATCTGTATGAAAACAAACTTTCTGGCTTAGTTAAATGTCAGCTGCAAATGGTGTTTGCTTGCTTCTCTTGTGTAGATGTTAGGCAACCATCACTCAAGGATAGATCTTTCCGGAACCCATGAAATCGGTATCCACCACGCCTGGAAAAGCAGACCAAGTGTCTCAAATGAACTGCCAATTAGAGTCATGTGATGCATGGCTGTCAATCATTTTAGCAAGTCTGATGTCTTTCTTGCACAAAGAAAGTCTGTCTGAGCGTCAGAGAATGGAGCTTGCCACTAGCTAACCATAGAGGTCTGGAGGTCTGTACAGACAAACAGGAAGTGATGCAGCTGGGCAGAAACAGGATATAAGCAGGGAGAAACAGGAAACTGCTCTCTTCTCTATGGAGATGATTAGGAGGTGAGGTGTGTTGTGGCTGCTCCTTTTCTCTGACCTCTCAGCATTTCCCTCTATATCTGACTCTGGCTTTTTTTTTTTATTATCTAGACCAATTAAGAGCTCCATTTACACAAATCCTCCACTTAAGTCAATCTTCTTCATTGCTCTGATGTGTAGGTACTAAAAACTTCAGTTATAAATAAAGGTCCACAGGACCAAGGAGGCTAGGAAACTTCCCGAAGGGTCACAGAATTTAGCAAATTCAAATCCAGACACATTTTAATCACCATTCTATGACCAAATGCACTTAATTGTGTCTCTAACATCGCTTCCAGGTATGAAGCAAACATCTTTGACGAAAGACCTTCAGAATGATTCATTGTTAACATTTTGTAAAGGCGGGAAGGGTCTCCCGAAGCGGGCCAATGGTGTCATGAGACAGGATTTACTCAGGAGTCTGCCCTGTGCATCCAGGCACATTTCCCTCTGCAGATTCAGTATCGTATCCATTGTTGGCGTCACAAACATTTGACTACAGGCATGGCCCGTGTAGCACCACAGAGACCACATATATGAATGATATGGTCCCTTGAGACGTGAGAGCTGAATCAGTTAGAAGGGCTTTGGGGAAAGTTGTGCAGGGGAGCTAGGGGGCAGAAGCGGATGGTTCATTGTATATGTGTATGGAATTCTCAAGAACGAAGAGAAACTGATGTAAACATATAATTCCTATTGCTTCGCGATATAGTTGCCATTGCAAAAATCCCCCCCCAAAAAAACCAAAAAACAAAACCACTACGCAGCTCATGTGTCCGTGGTGGTCTGTATTAGCAGATACATGAAAGTACAGCTGAGACACTTACGTACAGTACGTAGTAACTAATTACAATAAATGGACATGTTACTGGATTAAGGATTTACTATAACACACTTTTAAACAACATTGCAGTGTGGTGTTCCCACTTACAGAAAAATGTTTACTGCAGAACACAGTCAGTTGCTATGACAGCTGCAGTACACACCACAGGTTTGCCAAAGTGTCTTGACTGCATGGTTTCCTTCAGCTTTTAAAGACGTTATTTTATTTTATGTGTATGAGTGCTTTGCCTGCATGTACGTATGTGCAGCCCACGTATGTGCCTGGTGCCTGCAGAGGTCAGCAAAGGGATTACCATCCCCGGAATTTAAGTTCTGGAGGGTGTGAGCAATGGTACGCATTCTGGGAACTGAACCCAGATCTCCTGCAAGAGCAGCCAGTGTTCGGAATTGCTGGGCCGTCTGTCCAGCCCCATTCACGCTATCTAGGAAAAAAAAATGGGAACGTGCAAATGCCACGTGACCACAGTAACACACCCCGCCTCATAGACAAGGGTTCAATGTCATAGTAACGTGTCGTGATGGAGTCTTTCACCCAAGCTAGCTTCATACCCATTCATTCAACATCTGCTAACATTTCTGGCTACGCAAAACCCTTCGGAACACTTAAGAGGTCAGTCATTCCTCGGTAGGCTTAGCACTCTAAAACACTAGGGTTTGAAGTTCCCAGACTATACTGATTCATCCCTGGCCATTCTTTTGATTTTTACCTACCTATTTGAACTTACTGATTTTTATTTACGTGATAAGAACGCTCAGTACGCAACCCCACTACTGCGCTCCATCTCACAGAGGGCAGAGGTAATCGCTCCCGATATCCCCTCACACTCACAAGGAACACCACCACAAACCTACGGATGTATACGTGGGGGGGGCTCCCCAAATCAATAGTCACTGGAGGTTGATGGCAATGCTTGGGTCAGAATAATGGCTGGGGAGAAACAGCCAGAGCCCTAGCGGGGCTCCCAGCTTGTGGTCTGCCCTCCAGGCAAACTCAGATCTAGGCAGTAGTTCAGCCCAGTGCAACAGCTTTAATCAAAGTCAGGAGGTACCAGCCAAGGATGAGGAATGCCCCTGACTCAAAGCCTTCAGCAGCAACACCACCGGCCTCCTTGAGTGTGAGAGGGCAGAAGCGGGTGACCTTCAGAGTGGCACTTAGGCCTGGGAGGACCCTCCCCTGGGTGACCCTCCCCAGAGACTCCCCAGGCTCACCTCCCTCTTCACCGGGGTGCTGTGTGCAGCAGCCTCAGGGAACTGCTCTAGGGCTGGAGGCTCCTCACCGCTTCCGCTTCCGCTTCCACCGGCAGGCTCTGTTCCTGGCTGTGCCCCTGGTTGTCCCTGAGGCCCTGCTGCCTCCTGGGGCTCAGCCTCCTGGTCTTGCTTGGATTCTGAGTCTGATCCCGATTCGGTCGTCATGGTTGATTGTTCTGAAAGCAGAGAGAGGGGCAAGGGGTCCTGTCAGCAGCTGTGATTATCTTCCGGGAGAACTAGCGCGGAAGGGAGGGGGAGGGAGAGAGGCACTGTGTAGAGACACGGCAAAGAGTGTGTGGTGCTCACAGAGGCTCCAAGCAGATCCGTAACACAGTAAAAAGAGGCACCTCAGCCAAGGAAACAGTCTTCATAACACTGGGCTCTAGGCAAGTCTGTAGGGTATATTCTTAATCAGTGATGGCCCATTGTGGGTGGGGCCATCCCTGGGCTTGGTGGTCCTGGGTTCTGTAAGAGAGCAGGCTAAGCAAGCCATGGGGAACAAGCCAGTGGGCAGCTCCCCTCCGTGGCCTCTGCATCGGCTCCTGCCTCCGGGTTCCTGCCCTGCTTGAGTTCCTGTCCTGACTTCCTTCAGTGATGAACGGTCATGTGGAAGTGTGAGACAAGCGGACCCTTTCTTTCCCCCACAAGTTGCTTTTGGTCATAGTGTTTCATAACAATTAAAACCCTAAGTGGGACACACACAAACTAGAAATCAGTCGACAGGGTCTCTTCATAATAAATGGCGGCCACAAGTGAAATTTCGAAATCATCACACTAATTAGGGTAGCAGATGAGGGGTGAGCGCTTGCTGAATATGTGTATCCTAACACCTGTGAAGGATGAGCTGCAAGACCAGATATTCCGCAGGCTTCTCAACTCTGCACCAAGGACTCTCCCACGCCCCGCATCTATGGGGCTCTTGTAGCAACAGCAAACGTCTTTCTTATTGGTTTTCACCCAATGCTGCTGCTATTTCCTCTCGAATTAAAATATACAAATTGCAGGGAGCCTCACACCATCAGCATATGCCCTGTGGCTGGAGGGTAGCAAGTATCCTCCTCTATCCCCCCCAATGTCTTTCCTGGCTCCCTTCTGCCCGTGAACACTAAGAGTTGTCTCTGTCTCACATCTCACACAAGAAATTCAAAGACCTTCCTGAGCAACAGGCTGCCACATCCTAAAAACACACCTAGGGACACAAAGCTACCACCTTCCAACAGCGTGCTAAACCAGACTAGCACTTTGTGCCTCGGTTTCCACATGGGCCAAACGAGAAAGGCTGAACACGCCCAAACCCAAATACTAGACTTCCTCAGTCACGTTTGCCTCTTGCCCGCAGAAATGCCCCGTGTCTTAAAAACAAAGCCCATTCTTTCCGTGTGTAGTAAGAGAGATGCTACTTGACTTTTTAAGTAATCTGCATAGGAATGGCAAATGTCCTACAGATAATATTATCTTTTACCATCCCCTTTCACAATTCTAATGACCTGATTTTTAAGAAAAACCAAGAAACATTCAGAGCCAAGGGCCTTAAGTAAAGGACACATGCATTGGTATGATATGGGGGTTACGCCACTGTGACCAGTGGACTCCACAGCGCACCTGTGGTTCTGTAATCAAGCCATTTCAAGTAAAGGGACGTGGCAAACGCCAGTCAGTACCTTGCCCACATTCTTCATGTAGGGTTCATCCTCTCAGTCACCGGCTATCTCTTCTGTTGGATAAAAGACACATCAACTTGGCATGTGCTGAGCCTCCCTCAGCCATGTAAATATCAAACCCAGAGCAAGACTGCGAGCTACTCCACCATTGCACATTAGCCTTTTAAACACATCCTGAAAGCAAATATTGCCTTTCCTTGGCCTGCTTACTCTGGAATCTGGTATGCGTGCAAAGGAATTGTGTGCGTGTGTGTTGGGAGCGCGGCAGGGGGGGGGAGGGCTGCTAGCACCGTGGAATTCAGATTCCATGATGACTTTCAGGAAGGCTGAAAGATAGTTCCAGCAGTCAATTCATCTGAAGACCAAATACAAGACAGCCAATGTGGTTTAGCAGCAATTACAACGCAGTACCCCCCAACACGCCCTTCCTTCTAGCCTCAAGGACTGCAAGATCTAAGGCAGTGGTTCTCAACCTTTCTAATATCTCCTCGTGTTGTGATGACCCCCGACCATAAAATTATTCCGTTGATACTTCATAGCTGTAATTTTGCTGTTAGGAACCGTAATGTAAATATCTTGTATGTGACCCCTGTTGGGGGGTTGGAGGGAGTCAGGACCCACAGGTTGAGAATCACCGATCTAAGAAACACCCATTCCTTTCTGTCTTCATTTAGTTCAGCTATCATTCCTCCTAGCTTGAAGATGTGAACAGGCATGATGATAGGATCCAGTCTGGACAATAAGGCGACTAGAAAATAATACACATCAGGCACCGTTACTGGGCCAACGACCTACGGCTGGATAGGTCACAGGGCTGTAATGGAGAACCTCACACTACCATCCTGTTAAATGGACACAGCAATAAACAGACCCCCCCCCGGTAACTCATCTTTATGCCCACAGAAAAGCGCGTCTGCAAAGCTTCACTCCGTGAAGCTTCTTGTTGCAGTGGACAGTGACTAACGCAGAGACCCACGGCTGGTCAAGGGGCAGCAAGTGAGAGAGAGTTCAGAACACTCAGCCCTAACGGGGACATCTCTATCACACCTCCTCCACCCAAGGCTCGGCAGTCATTGAGGAAGAGGAGGCGGGAAGACCCCCAGGAGTCAGAAGCAGATACAACAGCAGATTGTTCTCTAGACACGGGGGCAGCCACACCTATGAGCTCACAGCGGTTACAACAGCACACATGGAACCTGTGCAAACTTGAGCCAGACGGCCACAACCCACTCGTGGAGTCAGGAGGTGGACGAGGAGGCCAACACCAAGTCCCACCCATGAGTCAGGAGCTACTGGTAACTGACAGCCACTGCAGGAGGGAAATCGGGTCTTCTTTGAGGGTGCAGTCCCCGGTGGGTTGACCGTGCTCTAGGGGATGGCCCACACCTAAGTATATGGATAGCACAAGCCGGATTCAGTCATTTAGTAATTTAAATCTTGTTTTTTTTTTTTTTTTAAGGAGGATGCGATGGGGAGGGGAGGAGCGAGCAAATCTGGGAGGAGCTGGGGTGAAAAAAAAAACGATTTGACTACATTGCGTTGCGTCTTCCAAGAGTTAATGAAAAAAGTATTTTTAAAAAAACATTATTTGGTGTGTAGGTCATCTTTCAAGAGGCAAGCCTCTTGCCCTAGGCGTCCACTTTGGCTGGAAGATGACAACTAATTGCATGGTTTTCTTAGATGCGTAAGGAAGTCAGAGCTGCCCACCTGCGTCTGGCTACGCCATGAGGCAGGGATCCGGGTGTCTCCCTTAGCATGCACAGCTGCAGCCAGTGTGCTACACAAAAGGCAGAGCTGCACGGGGCCCTTCAGGTGCTAGCAAGTTTCTCTCTCACATGCCCTCTCGTCCCCTCTGAGCCACCGCCCCGTTTTAGCTGGCGATTCTACCACGGCTTTGGTGTGGCTCTTGCAGCCTACATAACTGACCATCGGCCCACGCTTGTCTGCTCAGCGGATGTCCTTGTCCGCATGCCCTTGGGTCTTGGGGTTCAGGGCACACACCGTTCACTCTGCACTCGTTCCTCTCTATTCCATTATTCCAATGGGGGACTCTATTCTGGACCTTCCTCTCTCTCCAAGTTTTCTCCACAGCCAACGGCATGCTTCCCAGGGCTGTAAATACTTCCTGTGCCCCCTCATGTCCCCCCCCCATCCCCAGCTCAGGTCTCTCTTCTGTGCTCAGAGCTGGGACCAAACCATCCACCTGCCAACATCCCCCAAAGCCTTTGTTGCTCTCTACCTAAGCTGTTTCTCCATATCCTCTCCGTCCCTTGCCTCAGAAATGGCAATGCTGTTTTCTTCCAAGTCGCAATTCCAGAAACCTGGCATTCCCCTTACCTTGTTTATCTAATAAAAATGAATGATTCCATTCCCCAAATCCACTTGGAACTGGCTCCCTGCCACCACCTGAACCCCATCCTTTCTCTACGGAGCCCCCCTTGCCCCCCAATTCTCTTCCCAGTTCCTTCGCTGCTCACCTCTGTCTAAACTTCATAAAACATACATCCAATCTATGACGCACTGGTGGGAAGCCATTAACAGCTTCCCAATGCACACAAGTAAAATCTAAATTCCTAATTACTGTGTCCTTAAAAGCTATGGCTAGGACCCAACTCCCTGCCTGGTGGCCACCGTCTGTTCCCTCCAACTCAAAATGAGCTCTCTTTCACAGTCTCTAAACCATATCAGTCTTCTTCTGCCTCAAGGTTTTGGAGACGTGGAAGACGTATTTTTCCTTGCTCTTAAATAGTCAATTTCCCATTCTTCAAGTGTTGGCAGAAAAGCCCTGCTTGGTCACACAGCTGTTTTATCTGTGTCTTTCCTGTTACCCAATACTGTAGTCATTCTCTGCTCCCGTGAGATTCTATCTATATATCTCAGAGTGATATTCATGTGTATTTATGCTCTGATAGCCTCAACAGCAAAAAATAGCCAGGAATGTGATGCTAAAATAATTATTTAAAAAAGCTAACTTCTTTTATTCTTAGGTATACATACTTAAGGGCGTAAAAAAGACTCTTCCTCATATTTCTTAACCTTTGGGGGCAAGTCTCTCACGTAATTAGAGATTCTTGTTTTATGGTTAACTAGACAGAACTCAGTTAAGTTTCTGAACTGAAGACCCTGTAAAATAGAGCTTTACACAAATACTACAAATTACATAAATACGTCCGGGAAACGGGAAAAGAGAAACATTTGGTTTTCCTGCTACCCGGTCAGAAACATGAGGCTGTAGTTGGCACTAACGCAGCCCACCAGAACATTATTGGTCTCTTCACTAGAATGCTTTTGCCAAGCAGAATGAAAACCTTTCCAAAAAATCAAACGGAGAGGCTTAGCTACTTCACCGAATCTCTATAAACAACAAACAAAACACCAGTCACTGATCCGTAAGATTAGAAAAACATAAACGACTATGAGAAAGGGGGTATCTTAAACAAAGCTCTGTTTTTTTCCTGTATCAGGTCAGTTCTTACATATAAATCATGTTCATGTTGCCACAATAATTTGGGATA